TTGAGTCAAAATTATCCTACATACTTTTAATTTAAAGTACTTATTTATTATGTGTAACTAAAATTTACAATTATGCATAATCATGCAAGTCAAATATGCAAGTTTATGTGAGTTATTTTCAGAACTCTAACCATAAGGTAAATCATGAAGTAAATCATCACGGTATATTTTACATGCTGCATGAACATTATCATTGCAGTTGGATGGATCACCAGATTCTAATATCATAACATTTAGTGATGGTAAAGTATTACAACCTATAGGCACTTTTTTGATGATTTCTAAATATACATCTTCCATATTGAATTCATTTACACAAGTCTCTAATAATATATTCAAAATATTTTTATATATTATTAAAAGATTATTAGTAGTTGGAGACTCCCTGAACAATGGTTGATTAACGAATTCATAGTCTCCAATTAAATTATTAAGAGAAGTAGAAAGAGTAAACTGAAATACTATTTGTAATGTTACATGTGAAGTTGTCATATAATATCAAAAATATTGCCACACGAGAATGTAGAAGCTTTAAAATCAATATTATCAATTACTGCTAAATTCCAAATATTTGATCTCTTGATTAAATTCTCTCTAGAGTTTGTATGATGCATTCTAAGTTTTTCAAGACGATTTTCATGCCTTTTAGTATAAGATATGACACAAGCTGAATGAAGGATCTCTCATAAGTATAGCAGTAATTTTAGTTTTTGATACATTAATGATATAATGTGTGAAATTTTTATTTCAGGAAAAGCGATGGTTAGTAACATAGAGGTCAGTAAAGTAATAGTTTTTGATATTTGACTTATATTAAGCGATTTTGGGAGAAGTTCACATTGAATTTTTTTTTTATTAATAATATTTTGTTTTCATTATTATAGTACTGTGATGAGAACTTAAAAGAAACCACAAATGATTTTAGGCAATGCTTCAAAATAGTTTTCATATGAACTTTGGGTTTTCTATTTGACTGATATTTCGCTAAATTTCAAAACATGAAGATAAAATTTCTCTTCCTAATTTTTCTTTCATTATCAAAACCTTTTCTGGAGTATCATATGAGGTCTTTTTATTAATCTATTCAATTCAACTTTTCCCATTCTTATTACTATTCTAACAAGTAACTTGCTTGAAAGTTTTACTACTTCTATTTCTGATAAGCTTTTATCATAGTTTATTGTTAAAAATAGCTAATGTCAGGGTTATCAAAAATAGAAGTCTTCTTGTAACTTATTATTATTTAATTCTGCTACTGATATTATTTATCTTCTGATATGCTTTAAAGCGTTACTTGCATCATCACAATATTTTTTACATTCAGTATATAATATATTCTTTTAGCTTTTACCTGGTCTTTCGTATAAATGTCTACCCTAATTTTGAAAGCATTCTGAAAAGATATAATGTGTACAATAGTCTGAAGATAATTTTTTTGCAATAGGTCTTTTGGTAAATGCAGAATAATTATGAATACCAATACAAGGTACTTGAATATTACACTGATTAATGCTTCATGAATGCTTTTTGCAACTGTTACTATAGCTAAAGAACCATTTTTTTATTACAGAAAATGCAGAAGCAAAAATGAATAATGCTCTGCTCAATCGAATATAATTATTTCATATCTTTATCATGAAGTTGGTTCTGATTGAAAAGAAAATGAGAATAATATACCCTAAGCTGATGAAGATTACTTTTAACATTTTTAATTGCATCTGCGTCTATCTCCTATGTCTCTACTATTTACTTCAATTACTATTGGTTTACCATACTATTACAACATTTTATTTCACCTTAAATAGTATCTATAATTATACATGCTGTTAAATTTATGCTTTGTATGAAGGTCCTTTTAATTTTTATGTCTATATCATCATGTATTATTTGAAAGGAATTACTACAAGAGTTAGAATCTTCAGGTTCAACTTCGTTCTAATCTATGTCATCATTTTTATCATCATCATTTAATAAGGCTTGAACACTTGCAAAAGCAATTTGATCAATATTCTCTTTATTACTTTCTTCAGAAGCATTAGTGCTACATTTCTCAAAATCCATGTAAGTAAATTCAGAATCACTCATTTTGTTTTGAATTATTATTTTTCACAGAAACTTAATTGTCATAAATATGTAGATATAATTTATTTACAGTAGCAGTCATAAGTATCCGATTGCCTCTAACTCCAGCTACAAGTAAGTAAATTCAAAATTTTTTTTTTATTTAAAAAATACATAATCAACTAACTAAAAT